CACCTCTCCCCCACCACCAACATTACCATCCATTAAAATTTAAGTTATTGGTAGTTCCCTAATTCTAAGGTGATATTTTACAGCTTTGATGCCTTTGCCATTTCTTCTTCCTGGATTTCCCTTAGCTTGTACTGTGAAGACCCCCTAATCTTGCTCACAGTTCCAGGTTATTAATGTTTTCTCTGTACTACGTTTGTATTTTTAACTACTATTATTGGATTGTTGAAATTTTCATGTCTGTCTTCTACTAGACTGGGAGTTACTTGAGAGCAGAGACTGTCCTTGTTTTCCCATCCTCTAACAGTGCCTGATACATAAGAGGCACCTTGCTCAAAGAAGAAAAACAAGACCCAGAATGATTGAGTAATTTGTCTGTGGTCACATACCTGGCATATGGCCAGAAACAATCTAGATCTTTAACCACTCATCAACAATAAAGAAAAAAACTGCACAGAAGTCAGGAGGTGCAAGGACTAATCCTGGGTTGGCAGCTCTTATGTTACTCTATCTTGATGAGATACTTTACCTGTGTGACATTTTCTTTAACATTTGGAAGGCTATTTCTAGGTCCATGAACTGAGGGTTCTATTTTCATGTATTTTTCCCCAAGGGAGTTGAAAAAATTTGATACTCTATAAAATTATTTAAAAATAAATGTCTGGAAAGCTGAAAAGGGCCGCTGGTTATAATGAAGGTATAGAGATTTTCCTTCTCTGGCTCAAGGTATCTCTCCTATGAGGAGGTTGGACAAGGTGCTGTATACAGCTCCCATTGGCTGTTATATCCCAGGTGTTTATGCCTCACCTGATCCCTCTCCCTTGAAGGCTATATGACCTTGACTCATTCTTTTCATCATCAGCATGTTGAGATATGACATTTCCTCAGCAGTCTTGGTTAGGGAGTGATCATCTGCTCTCCATGGTCCTGAAAAGATGTCAGTGTTTTCTGAAACTTTTTCAGTTTCCCAAATGCAGATTTGAGTTTTTATATGTTTTTAAAGAAATTAAGAAGATGGTAGGTGATGTGCTAATGATATATTGGAGAGAACCAGAGAATGGATGGAACTATTCAGTGGTAGAGTCAGATCTTCTTTTCTCCCTTTTCTAGTCCCTTTCCTTTGGCTGCCTCATTGAGTCATTTGACTCCGCATTTCTTGTTGAGGTCTCCAACCTTGTGATTTACTCCTAGAGGTGATGGCAAGGCTGAACTCAGATTTAGGATTAAGGAAGTTAGGATTGGAGAAGGATTAGATAGGGAACAGAGGCTGATGAAAAGGTAGGGGTGGGATTGTCTGTCACACAGGATTTATGGATT